CAAGGAGTTCAGTCCCTTCCCAAATGCCATCCAGAAGGGATCAGACCCTTCCCAAGGGGATCAGACCATTCCCAGGAGGATAAGACCATTCCCAATTGCCATCCAGGGGGTATCAGACCCTTCCCAGGGGGATCAGACCCTTCCCAAGGGGCTCAGACCATTCCCAAGGGGATCAGACCCTTCCCAAATTCCATCCAGGAGGGCTCAGACCCTTCCCAAGGGGATCAGACCCTTCCCAAGGGGATCAGACCCTTCCCAAGGGGATCAGACCCTTCCCAAGGGGCTCAGACCATTCCCAAATGCCATCCAGGGGGTATCAGACCCTTCCCAGGAGGATCAGACCATTCCCAGGGGGATCAGACCCTTCCCAAATTCCATCCAGAAGGGATCAGACCCTTCCCAGGAGGGATCAGACCTTTCCCAAGGGGTTCAGACCCTTCCCAAGGGTTTCAGGCCCTTCCCAAGTGCTTCCCAAATCTCTGGGCAGGAGCTTTTGGGCAGGGATGCTCCCGGGGAGTTCCTGGGAAGAAACCCGGGAATTTCCGGGAGATGCAGGCCAAGCTGGAAGGGACCCGCACCTGTCACAGGGTGACGAACTCCAGGGGTTTTATCCCGGTTTTTTTTTATTCCCAGGAGATCTTTAGCCCGCTGTGTTTTCCCCACGGCTCTTGTGCCATCTGCTGACCGAGCGCTCCGTGTCCCGCAGCCCCGGAGCTCCCCGCTCCTCCTCCGGCATCTCCCGGTTCCTCCCTCCCCTCACCCCTCTCCCACCGCCGGCCCGAATTATCCACGAGGCTTCACCCAAAAAATCCCCTTTAAAACGAACTCGGAGCCTGCTCAGAGCGCTTTGGACCCCGCGGGATTTGGGGATTTTGTCTCCTGTGACACAGCAAAGCCCCAAAAATCCGCAATTCCCGCTCCCTGCCCCGCTGCTCTTCCCCCGCGGGGCTGCAGGAGCGCTGCGGGGATTTTCCCACCTTTCCAATCCTCAATTTTAGGGATTTGGAGGAAAAGCGAAGCTGCAGATCCCGGCTGGCCAAGCAGAGGGCACTGCTGGCTCACGATTCCTGCCAGGGCTCCGAGTCCATCCCCAAATCCTGGCACAGAAAATCTCTGCGGGAGCAGAAATCGCAGGAGCAGCAGCTGAGAAATCCTGTGTCCCCTTCATCCCCCTGATTCCAACCGGTCCTAAAAAATCCAGGAATAATAAGTTAAAACGTGGGGATAACACCCAGAGGAACGGAGCAGTGATGGAGAGCACTGGGGAAGTGCTCAAAAATGGCAAAACTGGGAGGAAAAGAGATTAAATGGACACAGGAGATGAGAGCCTGGCCCGCTTTGGGGTTCATCCTGGCACCCAGCAGGGCAGGGGAGTCACAGAGAGGGTTCTCCACGAAAATGCACTAAAGTTTCATCTTTTAAACCCATGGATTCTGAAATGGGAGATATTTTCTTCTTTTTCCCTGCTGATGTGCATTAGAAAACCCTGGCGAGGGAATCTGCTCCCTCTCATCCCCCTGCAGCTCCCATCCTCTCCGCTTCCTCTCTTATTTTGCTGATGGAAAAGGCCAGAAAGCAGCTGGGAGGAAGCAGAGGATGTACAAAACCCTTTTAAGTTGAATTTCAGCTCCCGGAGCATCCCCAAACTCCTCGGAGGAGCCCACGCACATCTCTGCGCTCTCATCCCCGGTGCACCACCTCGCTCATTACTCCCTTTATTTATCAATTCCTAAAATATTTCCATTTTCCCCCCACTTTTGACCGCTTAAAACCCAAAATGTGGCAGGACGGAGGCGCTGGGGGGTTGTTGGCTTTCCTGAGAGGAGGATTCGGGTTTCCAGGGTTTCGGATGCTCCTCCGCCGCCGCAGCTCCTGATGGATCCCAGCGATAGCTCCCGAAATGCGATACCAGCCGCGGCGCCGCTGCCATGGAAATGCTCCCGACCCAGCCCCGAGCGCCTTTCTCCCGGTTTCACCTAACCTGGTTAGGGGGAGCAGTAATGGCCCTGGAGAGCCCAAACCCGATTAAACCCCGGGCACTGATGGGCGCTTGTGATGGATCCTCCCAGGAACTCCCCGGGAGCATCCCTGCCCAAAAGCTCCTGCCCAGAGCTCTGGGAAGCACCTGGGAAGGGTCTGAACCTCCTGGGAAGGGTCTAATCCCCTTGGGAAGGGTCTGAACCTCCTGGGAAGGGTCTGATCCCCTTGGGAAGGGTCTGAACCTCCTGGGAAGGGTCTGATCCCCTTGGGAAGGGTCTGAACCCCCTGGGAAGGGTCTGATCCCCTTGGGAATGGTCTGATCCCCTTGGGAAGGGTCTGATCCCCTTGGGAATGGTCTGATCCCCTTGGGAAGGATCTGAACCCCCTGGGAAGGGTCTGATCCCTCCTGGGAAGGGTCTGAACCCCCTGGGAAGGGTCTGAACCCCCTGGGAAGGGTCTGAACCCCCTTGAGAATGGTCTGATCCCCTTGGAAAGGGTCTGAACCCCCTGGGAATGGTCTGATCCCCTTGGAAAGGGTCTGAACCCCCTGGGAATGGTCTGATCCCTTCTGGATGGCACTTGAGAAGGGTCTGATCGCCCTGAGAAGGGTCTGATCCCTCCTGGATGCATTTGGGAATGGTCTCATCCCTCCTGGATGGTACTTGGGAAGGGTTTGATCCCCTTGGGAAGGGTCTGATCCCCTTGGGAAGAGTCTTATCCCTTCGGAATGGCACTTGAGAAGGGTCTGAGACCCCTGGGAATGATGTGGTCCCTCCTGGGTGGCATTTGGGAATGGTCTGATCCCCTTGGGAAGGGTCTGATCCCCATGGGAAGGGTCTGATCACTCCTGGATGCATTTGGGAATGGTCTGATCCTCCTGGATGGTACTTGGGAATGGTCTGATCCCCATGGGAAGGGTCTGATCCCCTTGGGAAGGGTCTGATCCCCATGGGAAGGGTTTGATCCCCTTGGGAAGAGTCTGATCCCCATGGGAAGGGTTTGATCCCCTTGGGAAGGGTCTGGTCCCTCCTGGATGGCACTAAGCAAACCCCAAAAAGGCTCCAGGAAGGCTCAGCAGCAGGTTTTGGCCGGGGAGCGCCTGTGAGGTGATTTAGGAGCCCCCCCGAGCCTCTGGATGCTCCAGAAGCCGCCTGCCAGCAAGGCAGGGCTGGATGTGACCTGTGGGATGCGCAGGGGGAGGGATGGGGGCGGCCACGCGGCCCCAAAGCCATCCTGGGCCACGAAAATCCATTTTCCATCGCTCAGCCCAGCCGGTGCCTCGTCTGCCCGCGGGTCCCGGGAGCCAAACCCCGCCCGTCCATTAATCCCGGAGTCATTAGGGGCGGATAAAGCCACTTCCCCCAATTCCTTCCTGCTCGTCTCGATCGCAGCCAAGCATTTCACCTTGGCGCCGGCCCCGAGCCGAGGTGTAAAATTACCGCCGCAGCCCCAAACAAACCGGCCAGACGTGGCAATGAATCCCCCGGGCGAGCGGGACGCGCTCCCGGCCTCGTGGAGGGCGTTTGGAGCAGGGAAACTGAGGCAGGGCAGCTCGGGCAGGGCTGGAGGATCCAGCCTGAGGAGCTGCAGCCTCGTTCTGAGAGGTTTGGGGGGTGGGTTGAGGGTGAAATAACACAAAAGAGGGGGAAAAAAGGGGGAAAAGGCAAAAAAAAAGGCTAAAAATGGCAGAGAAAAAAAAAAAAGGAGAGGCAAAAAGAGACAAAAAATAAAAAATAAAAAAAACGGAAAGAAAGGTCAAAACAAGGTAAAAAAAGGCATCTCAGAGGAGAGTGTAAGAGGAGAGAAATCACCGGGCAGGGCCTGGGCGTCCCTCAGCGAAGGGATTCAGAAGATGCTGAGGGGATGCTGAGCCCTGAGCCTGCAAACCTGGGGAGGTGAGCTCGGCGATTGCCGTGATGTGTCCGGCCAAAATTCCCACTTTACACGGGGAAACGGGAATCACGGAATCACAGAAAGGTTGGAAAACTTGGAAAACCCCTTCGGTAAGAGCCCATGAGCAGGGATGTGCCGTGGCTGCGAGCCGAACCCCCGGAGCCAGAGGCTGGGACTGACCCCGGCTCTTTCCCAGGAATTAGGAGCGACGCGTGGGGGGCTCTGAGCACTTTTCTCGCCGAGCCACCGTATTTATTTTCCCTCTTTTGCAGCCCCTCGCTTCCTCGCCTGCTTTGGGGCCGTTTATTTATTCAGCCTCCCCTCCCGGCCGCTTTCGGTGGGGCCGGAGGCACCGGCGCAGCGCGGCCGCGGCGAGCGCGGCTCTGTCAGGGCTATCAGCGAACACCAGCCCCGAGCCCGGCCAGGAATTTTAATTGAAATCGCCGCTCCCTGCGCTTAGATAAGGCCCAGCATCGCCCCACGGCCCGAGGGGCTCCCCAGGACCTCCCCCGCTGTCCCACGGCGTGCCAGGACCCGACCCCGCTGCCCAAATTCATGGGGGTACCTTCGCCCCTCTCCATGCCCTGGAAAAGCTCTGCCAGCTCAGCCGAGGAAGCGCTGGGACAAACTGGGACAAACTGGGACAAACTGGGACAAACTGGGACAAACTGGGAGGGAACTGGGGCCCGAAGCTGTCCCACGTCCCCGTCCCAGCGTCCCCCCCCCTCCCGCAGGAGCTTGGTGGTCCGCGCTCCTTATCAGCGCTTATCTGCCGGAGCCGCTCGCTAATGCGACCTTAATGGAGCTCAAATGGACTGGATTTGTTTTATTGCGGCTCAGCCCAAAGCCCGGCACCCCCTGCCCCCCTCCCTGCGCTCCTTCCCGCTTCCCTTGTTTTGGAAACACGCAGGGAAGGGGCTGCTCCTTCCTCGCGGCTCAGGGGGCAGCGCATGGGGAGCCGGAGCACCCCGGGCGGCAGGGAGAGCCCTCCCGGCACTGTCCCTCCATCCCCTCCGTCCCCTCCATCCCCGGACCCCCGGGGACCCCCCCCGGGCCGGGGGCGCTCCGTGGCTCGGGGCCGGCGGCGCTCGGTGGCCGCGGCAGCCCCGCGCCCCCCGCGCCCGGAGATGCTGCCCACGCCCTTCTCGGTGAGGCACATCCTCAGCCTGGAGGCTCCCGGGGGTCCCCGAGCCGCCCCCCCGGCCCGAGCCGCCCGCAGCCCCGCCGGGCAGGACGAGCCGCGGCCGCGTAAGTGCCCGCGGGACCCCGCGGAGACGGGCGCAGGAAGCACCGGGGGGACCCCGCGGAGCCGCTCGCGTTCCCCCGGCGCGGATCCCGAGGGCAGCGCGGCATCCTCGCACCCGCCGGTGCCGGTGGTTCTCCTTTTTCCTCCCTTTTCCCTTTTCCCACTGTTTTTTATCCCCTGGTTTGGAGCATTTTCGGGCATCCCCGCGCATCCCCCGAGCATCCCCCGCGCATCCCCCGCGCATCCCCGCTGCTCCGGCTGCCCTGGGGGAAACGGGCCGATCCGGGGGTGGATGGGGCTGGGGGTGGATTTGGGATTTCGAGGGGTTTTCCCTGCCCGAGGTCACCCATCGCCACCCCTTTCGATGTCACCGCGGTGTCGCGCTCCGTGAGCTGGCCCCGCTGGGGACACGCCCGGGCCCGGGAGCGCCGAGGATCCCCGAGGGGGGATCGGAGCTTCTGCCCGCAGCAAAAAATCCCAAAAAT